GTATCGCTAGCTCCACATATACCAAATTAGATATCACGTGACGGGAATAGACTACGAAGGTAAATGACACGTGATAATTATGATATACACGTGATATTCATGATATTTATGACATAAAAGTCATCTACTGTATAATTTACGTCGGCCTCGTACTGTGCTGATTTCAAATTGACATATCAACCTTCCTTATTCGTTATTCGCAAATCATTCATTTCCACTGTACGTAGGATTTGCCAATTTTTCTAGATAAGATAACTCTTGGAAGCACTGAACAGAGTGCCAGTGTCAAGCGCAATTCTCCGCCACAGAGCTAATGTTTGGACACCACCATCGCACGACACGAGAACTTGTCGAGGCCTACCATATTAACGCGAGGGCTCCCATGTGTTTTAGGAATCCTCTTTTGGCCTTATCGTAAAAGGAAGTCGCGCTACCCGCGGAACGGACGGGAAGGGGGTAGACCCATGGGGAGGGGGTGCAGGAGGTGTGTTCTTGGTTCGTATTAGTGCCTTTTGTTTCGCCCACGATGCGCATGCGTGGGATTTTGTTGGGCACTTAGTGTAAGTTTATATATTTTCGGTTCAAGCATTAAAGCTTTCAGTTGTGAGTAAGCACTTGTGGTGTACCCTTTTTTGTCCGTGTTTTTTCGTGCTACAATTACGATGTCTTGTATGCACTTTGAATTCTCTTGTATTTTCCTTCAAACGCTAGATGTATCTTGTATTTGTAAAGTATAAACAAGCAGAACAAATTGGCCATAAAAAATCCTGAAGTGTACGAATCCTGTGCTACGTTGAAAAGTGAAAGAACGACTGTTTTGGGATGTATCAAGTTCATGAAGATATCTCTATGTTACCGCACCTCTGGAATTACGATTGCTGTGAATTAAAATAGTATAGGAATGACATCGATTTAAGGGCTAACTGGGGCCCGAAAAATATAAGAAAATGTAGCTGCGTTCCTCACAGAAAAACCCAAAAGAATGGATTTCTGAAAAGGCATCGAGTGGTGCGTCATTTTACCACATCAAGTGCTTAGGAGGCACGTGCCATCAAGGCCTTTTATTCTTTTATTTCATACAGCGCCCAAGCTTCCGTACCTAGTTTCAATATTGTGTGTCTCTAGCCTCAATATAAGCAACAAAATACTATTGTTGTAAACAATAGGCTTCATCATACTCGGACCACACCAAATAACATGCCTAAAACTGATTTGAAGTGGGAATGCCAAAGCTTATATAGTGTACTGATTTGGTTGGTATGTGGGGTTTAACGTTCCAAAACTATCATATGACTATGAGAGACGCCTTAGTGGAGGGCCTCGGAAATTCAGACCAGCTGGGAATCTTCAAAGTGCACCAAAATCCAAGCACTCGGGACTGCTGTATTTTCGCCTCCATCGAAAATGCAGCCGCTGTAGTCGGGATTCGATCCTACGAACTGTGGATCAACAGCCGGGTATCTTAGCCACTAGGCTACTGCGGCGGAGCTTATTTTATGTAATGGCAAGTCCCGTTATTTTCGCCCAGCTTACAATTATTTCTAGTGCATAAAGATAGGTGCTCTGATTTCAGCTGATCTGCTTTGGTTCCGAAAATCACGGCGTTTGTCTCTTTTTGCAATATTTTGAGTAACGTTTGCCCCTGACCACTTTCGGTGAGCTTTTATAGCAGCCAAAATTAATGACGTGAAGAACACGCCCGACAGAGAGAAAAACAAACGCCAGGCCTGCACGGTGGGCGCCACACAGTCACAGCGAGAGCTAGAAGAGCGGCCTTTCAGAGCCTTTCAGAGCATTTCAAAAAACTCATTCGGCAACTAGTGCAAGCACAATTGCTTCATACCCACAAGGGCATTAATAATGACATTTTTAGTGCAGTAGGCCGGCCTTCGCAATGCTATTTTTCGCGTTCTCCTGAGAAGCGTGGTATCCGCTAAACTATTGCGAGGAATTTTGTGCCAATTATTCATGCAGCGGCTGACGACGATGAGGAACTATGCCTGAAGTGGGTATGCGCCCCAGTTGGAGCACAATGGCTCCAATTTCATAACGAGAGTAAGAAAGGGCCGAGGAGAGGGTTCTTAGTAGTACAACAACAGGCCCAGATGGCATTCCAATTATGCTGAAGAAGACATCAGGTCTGAAGTCTAAGCAGGATTTGAGAGAGACAGTGAGCGAAATAATAAGCGATGGTGAAGTTCGCGATGGATGGAAACTTAGCAGGATGAGCATGATCTATAAAGGAAAGGGGGACAAAGCTGACATAAACAACTACCCTCCTATAACAGTGACATCAGTGGTCTACAGGCTCGCGATGCAGATTATAAAGAAAAGACTGCAGGCATGGATAGAGGATGAGGGGGTGCTGGGGGAACTGCAAAATGGGTTTCGGAAGCACATCAGGTTGGAAGACAATCTGTTCTCACTGATTGCGCATCGATATAGCAGAACAGGAACACAGGTCTCTGTGGCTAGCATTTTTGGATATCAAGAGAGCATACAATTGTTTGGTTCAAGTGGACTTGTGGGGAATACTGCATGAACTAGGTGTGAAAGATGGAGTCACTAATCTTTTAAAGGATATCTACAAAGGTAACATGGCAGTTATAAAGTGAAAAAAAAGGTATCTAAGCCTGCAGAGGTAAAACATGGGCTTAGGCAGGGGAATTCTCTGTCACCCTTGTTATTCATGATGTACTTAAAAGGATAAGAGGCCAAATTAGAGAGAAGTGGACTGGGCTTCAACCTCTCTTTCGTCAAACAAGGAAATCTCATGAAACAGGCACTACCAGCATTGATGTACGCAGATGATATAGTGTTAATGGCCGACATCAAGAAAGATTTGCAGATATTGATGGACATCTGTGGTAATAAGGGAGATACGTTAGATTTCAGATTTAGTGAGCAAAAATTGGCAGTCATGATTTTTAATAATGATGAAGGTAGTGAGCTTAGGATACAGAAAGTCACGCTAGAGATAACAGATAAATACAAATATCTGGGTGTATAGATAAGCAATGGGACCGAGTACCTAAGGGAACACGAAATATACGTGACGACTGAAGGTAACAGGAATGCAGCAGTGGAGAAAAATAGGGCACTGTAGAATTACAATAGATATAAAGTTGTGAGAGGAATGTGGAAAGGGGTCATGAATCCTGGTTTGACGTTCGGCAATTGCGGTCTTGTTGATGAGATCAGAAGCTCAAGCAAAATTAGAAATTAAGCAACGTGGACCTGGTAGGCTTGCCTCGGGAGCTCACGGAAATATACCAAATCAGGAAGTATAAGGTGACATGGGATGGACACCATTTGGGGGCAGGGAAGGTAGCAGCAAGATAAAATGGGAGACGTGATTCAGAGAAATGGGAGAGGAGCGTTGGGCTAGGAAGGTTTTCAGATAGTTGTGCATGAATAATGTCGATACAAAATGAAGGAAGCAAACCAGAAAAGTGACGGGTAAATACTTAGAAAACAGCAGGGGGCTAAACCAAAAAAAATTATTGGTTAAGAAGAAGGTGAAGGAAGCTGAGACCAATACGTGGAGAATCGGCATGACCGCGACTAGAAAGCACGTAACGGGGAGCCAAACGGTCAACGCGCAAGTATTTCAGCTGACTGAAAAAGTAGTTTATTCATTACTCGTATTTCTTGAATGTAAGGTGTTATTACTCGCTTGCTCGTGCGATCAAGTTGTTTTTAATATTTCCTTTTATGTTGTGCATTTTCGCGCACGCGCAGCTGCAAAATTCTTGTACTTTTAGTCTAGCATTAGAACATGACTGCGTTGATGCGGTTTCAAATATCAGTTTATGCGTTTCCATGCTGCCCCAGACATTAACACAACTCTTATCGATGGCGAGCTCTATTACAAACCTCATTATCAAAGTTGAGCATGCTTCAAGTGCACAGCGTGCAAATACAGTGCAAAAACTACAGCGCGTAGCAGACGTCTCTCACTTTCCACGCGCTTCTGAGCGCGGAAAGCCCACGAGTCCGGCGCAGCAGCGACGCGGCGTGGAAGTTCACTGCAAAAAATTCACGTAAGAGACCACGCTTTGGACACTCCCTTTATTCTAGGTCCCTGTATTAAAGTTTATTGCGCGTGAACTGATGAGTCAGTGGTGTAGCGAGCGGCGGTTGCGGTAGCAGAGTGAGTGGTGGTAGCGGCAGGGGTTGCGAGTGAACGGGCGAGGTGGCAACTGCGGGCGCTGCGGCGAGCGCATGGCAGCTGAGGGAGAGGATAGCGAGGACTGCGAGGATAGCGCAACATCAACGCGCAGCTGCGGCATGACCTACTCGGCACTACTCAAGTGCATGTGGCCAGGGGAATGCATTGGGGCACGTTCGTACTGGCACACGTACGTATGGCGTTACACACGTCAGTCAAAGAGCTACTTCACATCTAGGTATTTCTTTCAGATCACTGAAGACGACCGAAGCAACTCCTCCATTTTTTTTATTTGCGCACTTTCAACCCGACAACGTACAAAGACCCTGGTCGCAATTGTACATTTTTTTTTGCGTAAATCAGTTGTGCTCCTAATATAACGTTCATTCTCTTGCCTATTGAAAAAAAAATTAGGCGTATTCAACATACATGAATTAAGAGCAAATGACCCTTTCGAAATGTAAAACCTCGCTTCTTTCAATTTAGGCCAATAAAAAGACGTGGTATTTAGCTCTGTAGACTGAAGAGGAAGAAATTCTGTATTTATCTAGGTGAAGATTTCGCGCCTAAGAGCGCAAAAAACTTTGTGTGGGTGACTGAAGGTGCCAGATGCTGCAGCGATCAAGCATTAGTTGTTATGAAGTTCTGTTCGAACAGTCCCTTAACACTGTGCTCTTAGCGTACGAGGATTGGTGACAAAATCTGTCGACAGCATTGTTATTGTTTGTAATAACAGTCGTGCATATGTGTCTAGAGCGAACAGTTTGCAAATTTTAAGAGTTTCGACCAGCCGGCTTTTGTTTATGTGATTTCTTCATATGCATTTCAGAGTACGAGAGCGAACCCACTTTTCAGCTGCACCACCTAACATCAACGTCAATTTGTAAGTGAATTGCTACTTTTATACATGCTTTAACGCCCGTCCTATGCAAGCTTTGGCTAAGACAGACTTGAAAAAACCTCATTTCAACAGCAATACATATTGGAAAATTATTTTGTTGAAAGGTTGCGACAGATATGATGTTACTTTTTTCACTCGCTTTTGTCGTCCTACGTATATAGATCGAACAGTCTAGAGCAGATGTGCAAAAAAACACTGCGATGCTACTCCGTTTCTTTGGTGATACCCAATTATTAGTTGGTCCTTCGCATCACCGAAGTGCAGGTACTCCCTTCATCTAAACAATATTTGCTACTTACTAGGCGACATCCTGATTGCGTGGCATATATGCAAGAAATCCGTCTGCACAAAAAGCGGTGTCAGCTGTGCTGGACAGTACTGCACAAGAAAATCAGTAAGCAAGAACGCTAAATTTAATTCTGTAGCTGCAGGGATACGTGTCAGTAGTGTCTCGACGCGCAAATGCATAAAAAATATAAAGATGCATGTGATAACACGAAGTATAACGTGTTTTGCTGTTTGTGTCCCGATGCTAAAAACATAGCTGAGCCCCTACTGTGAAATCTGACAAAGTGATTTCCGTTCGTGAAGCTCCCACTGATCGGTTTACCAAAGCGTCAGTGTTGCCGCAGTTTGAAGTAAGCACGTATACCTTCTCCGGTACGAGTACAATATTGCTAGATATACATACTTCTGCTGCACTTTGTTCACTACCGTCAGGTTGTTTCCGCAGGTCACGGAGCGGCCCTCGCTGTCCGAGCTACACAACAAAAAGTGTGGCGGAAGTCTCGTGCTTTCGCACGGACTACCTAGCTGGATTCCGCCATTGTCTCGCGTCGTAGGCATAACACGTTGGCTTCAGAGCTGGCTGTAGTTGCGAATGCGCATTTTATGCAGCCGTTGCACTTTACAAATCACGCAGAAAACCTATAGTTGAGCGTCGATCTTCACGATTGCGTGTTTAGTTCATTTATTTGTTGTTGACAGCAGTTGCTGTCACGCCCCGCGCGGCTGCCTCTCTGAAAATGGTTGGCACCGCAGCTTTGTTGTTCTTCTTCGGCAAATGCTATATTGCTGCCTCAGGAATGAATGGCTTGATTTACTAGATGAGAGTGACATCAGCGATGGCTCTTAATGCGACAGGTGGTGGTGACCCGTCTTGCGAACAACAATCATAACTTTTACATCATCGTGTATTTGCAGAGTCTGCGCATGGTAATGCGCAAGCATCAATTACACCATCATCCTTGACTGCAGACGAACGGGGCAACTATTGGGATCATCTCTCATTGACGCCCCTTTGAAGCGAGAGCAGCAACACAGCTTCTGCTGCCAGGATTGTGCCGATGTTCGAAGTCATTTTGGCAGCAACGTTGGAGAAGCCTGGATGTCTTCTAACTACTTCGTTGCGTATTTGCACAGTGTGCACAGGTGATACGCAGGGATCAAGTACACAGTCATCCTTGGCTGCAGGTGAACGTGGCCATCATTGTGATCATCATCTTGTTGACGCCTCTTTGAAGCGAGTGCAGCGACACTGCGTCTGGCACCAGAATCGTGCCGATACTTTACGATTTACTCTGGCAGAAGAGGTGCAGAAGCTTGGACGTCTTTTAACTACTTGCGTATCTGCAGGTTTGATCTACATTTTTAGAACTTTACCTCGTAGTCATTCCTGCCACTGCTGCTGCCAGACAGTGCTGCTATTTGACGTTTGTCGAGGAAATTTGCCATGACGCGTGAAGTTTGTCTAGCACGTGAAAAGACGATCGGCAATAAGTGTAATGGGATCAGTTGATGTGATTGCGATTACATACACCCTGCAGGAAAATGATCGGGTACAAACGACGCATCCTTTAAAAGGAAGCATGAGGTTTCGAGGAAGACACGAAAGTGCCGGACGCGCTCCTCAGCAAGGTTAAGGGACAGCTCAGCTACTCCAAGTGTCATGGCATACGTGAACAAAGCTCTGGACTATACTGCAAAGATAAATAGCTCAAACGATTTAAGTATGCATGCACTCGAGTTCAGACTCAATGATATTACAATATGTCTGTACCAACTTGAGCAATCACCAACCCAGTTTAATTGCATTGAAGAAAGCATCGACGTTTGGCATCGCATTTCACTGGCGCCCAGCGCAACTGAGAAAAACAATCGTTAGGTTTTACTCAGTGAAAATCAGGAACGAGTTTTGTCAGTGAGCAATAAAAGAAGACTATCCATGGATGTACTGGCATTTTTCTCCGCAGAACAGTCAATCTACATAAATGAGCACCACTCCCAGAAAAACAAGAAGTTCTTCAGAAAAGCTTGTGTGGGGGCTAGTTAGAAACTACTGCAGTAAAAGCTGTGCTGCCAAGTTGAAGACAAAAAACTGGACTGGCACAGGGAAAGCACATCGAACTGAAGTTTATTGAAATAAATAACAAAAAAGTGGAGTAACATACAAGGGGATGGGCACTGAGAACAAACCACACATGATCCTATCTGGTGCCATCTACGCCGTAGTACACGTGTGTTCATCAAAGTTTTTTTTCGTTTTGTTTGCCTTTGTAAACATGCCATTTGTTTATCTGAAAGTGCTATCGAAGGTGTGCTAACACATGCGTCAAACTTTCCAGACATCATATAGTAAGCTTCAATAATTTTTCTCCTGAATTTATCATTGCTGTGAGCCAAAGTGGTGGTATCGCTGAAGTTAGGCTGACACCCGCAAAGCAGTGTTGAGCAAGGTTGCCTTCTATGGCACGCCGAATACACAAATTACTGTGTTCTTGGAGCCCTACAGTAAGGCATCTGCTCAATGTGAATTGCCCCACAATTGCCCCAAGCTCAAGGAAATCAAGAAAACCACTCCAACCCTGCACTCAACAAATTTTTTGACGTGTCAAACCCTACATGCTTCTTCTCTGGCGTCACCTTCAGGGCCTTCAGCGTTAACTTTTTTACACAAGCCTACCAGTTTGTTGGGCGCAGAGAAAACTACTTGACACCATACTAGCCATCTTCTTAAATTTATGCGCAACTGTGTGCGTGTACGGCAACACCACTCCGTGTTCTTTCTTCGTTCCTTCACCTTCACTGGCTGTTTAACTCTTTCAGGCAGCATTCCACCACTGCTGTTAATACCCCCGTCAGGATATATCCACACTTTTTGAAGCGCTCTATTTGCAATCTCATGCTTTCTTCTGTTTTGTGCTGACATGAATTTTCGGTCGCCTGCAACAAGCACAATTTTGCAATGCATCTTTTTGTGAGCTTTGCGTGATTATAATGAAATGGCAAAATAGGTTTACCGATGTAAATGCTCACTCCTGCCATAGCCCCAAATTGGGGGCTGCAGTATGTATAAATAATAATAATAATAATAATAATAATAATAATAATAATAATAATAATAATAATAATAATAATAATAATAATGTGTGTTCTTGGCGGAAGAACTGAAACGAAAAAAAAAGTGGAGGTTTGTATACACAGAACAAGATCACATAAAGGCACGTAAGGCACCTGATAGTCCTCTATGGCGTCTTACTTGCGAAGCTCAGCCACGCCCCAGAAACTTAGCACTAGATTCCGTTTCAAAGAACGTGCACGATCGTAGCGGCTGCCGAGAACCCTAAAATCCAGATTAACGTAGAGAGGTTGATCTGAATGTTCGAATTACGGGATTCCACATAATTTTAAAAACAAAAAATTTGATACGCTGCTAAAAAACATCCTATAATAAATCTTATGAAACAGCGCACCACCACAAGCACAAAATGAATGATAGAGACTCCGGTATTCTTTCAACTAGTTTATTTTGCTGAAAAACATAGTTAATACGCATAAAGACGGTGTTCTACGTGTGAGAAGGACGTTCAGGCTACAGCATATTTTCCAAAAAGCACATTTTGCGATCACTTAAACTAATTGATGCTTGGCTAATGCAGTTATTTTTCATTTAGCGGTATGGAAAAGCCTTGATAACTTCCCTGGTCACGTGATCCATGTGACGAGAAAATATTTCAGTCTCAGAGAACAGTAAAAAGCAGTGACACTCTAAGCAACTCCACCTTATGTGTGAGTAAGCATAATTAGCTAATGCTCTTGTGCTCCGTCAGCCTTGACTTATGCGCCGGCAGTTTAGGCCGATATACATCTTTCCACATGACATGGGCTAACAATATACCACCGCAGTTCTGCAATCAACAAACGCGAAAAACGTGCCAAATAGAGCACCGGAAATATATCTTGTTTTGCCGATCGCTTTCTATCCAGCCTGGTGCAAATTTGTCCGAGTTTGTTTGGCGCAGAAAAAACATGTAAGCCGTATCGGCTGCCCACATTCTTTCGATTACTTGATATACTGTGTGCATAAGTGATTGAGACACATGTCTTTTTCTTATCTTCAGGCTCCCAGTCTTTTAGGAGCTCTTCCGTATATAAGCCCCTGCGCACATGTGGAACCAACTTGCGCGCTGATCTTCGCAGAACATGCTCTTCGTAACGCTCACTACCCAATCTATCTACTTGTCTATTGAAAGTATAATCAATTTTGTGAGGACAAGATTTTGCCAAGGCAGCGCAGAGGCAAGAGTAGGCTTTGTCGTTCTTAACGGTCTTCAAATGCCCGGAAGAGTAGTTAAGCAGGGGCTTCTTTCATCGTGGACTATATACCCAGCAAACATGGTCTGACTTACTGATAAAGACAAGTAGAAGAACAGAAGCTGACCATCCCTTGACGATTCCCACGTAAAGTCTAGGCCCGCGCTGCATTTCTTGAAAACATTTAGGATATCTTCTATTGCCCTGTCAAGCACAGTGTGTTCCACAAAAACTAAGTAATCATCAACATATCTAAACATGTTTGTGCAAGGCCATTTATACTGGCTAAAATTTTTTGCTTCACCTATCCAAAGAAAATGCAGATATGTATCAGGGTCACTTTCAAACCAAATCTCCAAATATCTAAATTTCAAACCAAATATTCCAAA